TTTTTTTCCTCAATTTTTTCTCCATTTTCCCCCATTTTTTTCCCATTTTTTCCCCATATTTTCCCCATTTTCCCCCCCATTTTTTCCCCATTTTCCCCCATTTTTCCACCATTTCTTTCCCATTTCTTTCCCATTTTTTCCCCATTTTCCCCCCATTTTCCCCCATTTCTTTCCCTTCTTTTCCCCATTTTTTCCCCATTTTTTCCCATTTCTTTCCCATTTTTTCCCCATTTTTTCTCCATTTTCCCCCATTTTTTCCCCATTTTTTCCCCATTTTTTCCCCATTTTTTCTCCACATTTTCCCCATTTTTCCCCCCATTTTTTCCCCATTTTCCCCCCTTTCTTTCCCATTTTTTTCCCATTTTTTCCCATTTTTTCCCCATTTTCCCCCATTTCTTTCCCATTTTTTTCCCATTTTTCCCCATTTTTTCCCCGTTTTTCCCCCCATTTCCCCCCCATTTCTTTCCCATTTTTTCCCCATTTTTCCCCCCTTTTTTCCCCATTTTTCCCATCTCCATCCCGGGAATCCATCCCCACTCACCAGGCACTCGTTATCCTGCCGATGGATGCTGATCCTGGAATCCTTCACCACCACGTGCGTGATTTCCCGGAAATCGCAGAACCGGCTCCAGCCGGGATCGCTCCGCTCCTCCTCCTCCTCCTCCTCCTTCCTCCTGGATTTCCTCCCAAAATATCCGCGGCGGGAAAAGTTTTCCGTGCTCTGCCGTGGGGAGAATTCCAGGTTTTTGTTTTTTTTTTTCCTGGTGTTGGAGGGGGTTTGGGGTGGGAATGTTGGGAATGGGTTTGGGTAAACTGAGGAAAAACGGGAAAGGAAGCGAGGAGCATCCCGAATCCAGCAGAGATCACGGGAAAAGATGGGATTGGGGTGGGGATGGAGCATCCCAAACCAAGGGAAAATCCAGGATTTGGGGCAGGAATGGAGCATCCAAAATCAAGGAAAAATCCAGGATTTGGAGTGGGAATGACTCATCTAAAATCAAGGAAAAAAGATGGGATTTGGAGCAGGAATGGCTCATCCCAAACCCACCAAAAACCATGGAAAAATCCAGGATTTGGGGCAGGAACATCTCATCCCAACCCAAGAAAAAAACGGGATTTTTGGCACATCCCATCCCAAGAAAAAAACCGGGATTTTTGGCACAGACATCCCATCCCAATCCAAGAAAAAAATGGGAATTTTGGCACATCCCAACCCAAGAAAAAAAATGGGATTTTTGGCACAGACATCCCATTCCAACCCAAGAAAAAAACGGGATTTTTGGCACAAACATCCCATCCCGACCCAAGAAAAAACGGGATTTTTGGCACAGACATCCCATCCCAATCCAAGAAAAAAATGGGAATTTTGGCACATACCAACCCAAGAAAAAACCGGGATTTTTGGCACATCCCAACCCAAGAAAAAACGGGATTTTCGGCACAGACATCCCATCCCAACCCAAGAAAAAAATGGGATTTTTGGCACAAACATCCCATCCCAATCCAAGAAAAAAAAGGGATTTTTGGCACATCCCAACCCAAGAAAAAAATGGGATTTTCAGCACAGACATCCCATCCCAATCCAAGAAAAAAATGGGAATTTTGGCACATCCCAACCCAAGAAAAAAACCAGGATTTTTGGCACATCCCAACCCAGGAAAAAACGGGATTTTCAGCACAGACATCCCATCCCAACCCAAGAAAAAAATGGGATTTTTGGCACATCCCAACCCAAGAAAAAAACGGGATTTTCGGCACAGACATCCCATCCCAACCCAAGAAAAAAACCGGGATTTTTGGCACAGGCATCCCATCCCAACCCAAGAAAAAAACGGGATTTTTGGCACAGGCATCCCATCCCAACCCAAGAAAAAAACGGGATTTTTGGCACAGGCATACCATCCCAACCCAAGAAAAAAACGGGATTTTTGGCACAGGCATCCCATCCCAACCCAAGAAAAAAACGGGATTTTTGGTACAGACATCCCAACCCAACCCAAGAAAAAAATGGGAATTTTGGCACATCCCAACCCAAGAAAAAAACCCGGGATTTATCCCAGACCTCCACCGGCGCCGGCCGCCACTGGACACCTCCGGTTCCGCTGACCAAGAGCTGATGAGTGACCTCGCCATTCTCGGGATGCCTCTCCCGCTCCGCCTGACCCTCGGCCGCCGTTTCCAAGGAAAAAACCGGGAATATCTCGCATCCGAAGGCGGGAGCCAACTGTTCCAGCGTGGCCAGGTACTTGTACATCACATCCCGCTCCGTCAGTTTTCCGGCCGCCACCGTGTGCCGCTGGAAACGCCGGAGGAAACGCCGGAAAACGTTCTTGAGGCGGAAGCGGGTCAGGAAGTTGTGCTGGCGGATGTGGAGGCGGAAGGAACGCGGGATGCACTCGGTGAAACTGATGGGAAAAATGGGAAAAGGAAGGGAAAAGTTGGGATGTGATGGGGGTAAGAAGGGCGTTTGGTGGAGGGAAAAATGGGATTTTTTTATGGAGATAAAGTAGGGAGAAATGGGGGGGAAACAGGGGGAAAATGGGGAAAAACTAAGGAAAAATGGAGAAAATGCTGATGGGAAAGTGGGGATTTTGTGGAGAAGAAAGTGAGGAAAAATGGGGGAAAAACGGGGAAAAATGGGGAAAAAACAGGGAAAAATGGGGAAAAAACAGGGAAAAATGGGGAAAATGCTGATGGGAAAGTGGGGATTTTGTGGAGAAGAAAGTGAGGAAAAATGGGGAAAAAACGGGGAAAAATGGGGAAAAAACAGGGAAAAATGGGGAAAATGCTGATGGGAAAGTGGGAATTTTGTGGAGAAGAAAGTGAGGAAAAATGGGGGAAAAATGGGGAAAAAACAGGGAAAAATGGGGAAAATGCTGATGGAAAAGCAGGAATTTCACGGAGGAAAAATGGGAAAACATCTCTAAAAAAGTGGGAATTTCATGGGGAAAAAACCTCTGGAAAAGCAGGAATTTCATGGGAGGGAAAAACAGGAAAACACCTCTAGAAAAGCAGGAATTTCACAGGGAAAAACAACCTCTGGAAAAACGGGAATTTCACAGAGGGGAAAAACAGGAAAACACCTCTGGAAAAGCGGGAATTTCACGGGAGGAAAAAAACCAGGAAAACACTTTGGAAAATTGGGAATTTCACGGAGGAAAAAACCTCTGGAAAAGCGGGAATTTCACGGGAGGAAAAAAAACAGGAAAACACTTTGGAAAATCGGGAATTTCACGGAGAAAAAACGGGAGAAAGGCTCTGGAAAAGCGGGAATTTCACGGGAGGAAAAAACCAGGAAAACACTTTGGAAAATCGGGAATTTCACGGAGGAAAAAACGGGAAAAAGGCTCTGGAAAAGCGGGAATTTCACGGGAGGAAAAAACCAGGAAAACATTTTGGAAAATCGGGAATTTCACGGAGGAAAAAACCTCTGGAAAAGCGGGAATTTCACAGAGGGGAAAAACAGGAAAACACCTGGAAAATCGGGAATTTCATGGGAGAAAAAACAGGAAAACACCTCTGGAAAATCGGGAATTTCATGGAGAAAAAACCGGAAAGAGGCTCTGGAAAAGCGGGAATTTCACGGGAGGAAAAACAGGAAAACACCTCTGGAAAATCAGGAATTTCACGGAGGAAAAACGGGAAAAAAACCTCTGGAAAAGCAGGAATTTCACGGGAGGAAAAAAAACGGAAAACACTTTGGAAAATCGGGAATTTCACGGAGAAAAAACGGGAAAAAGGCTCTGGAAAAGCGGGAATTCCACCTGTACTTGCGGGCCACCTCCGGAAGGGACACGCCCCTGCGGAGCGCCAGCTGAGCCAGGTGCAGCACGGCCATTCCCAAACTCTCGTTCTTGAATCCCTGGAGTTCGGATTCGCTCCGGAAATCCTGCAGGGACACCACGTCGTGGATGAACTCGAATTTTCCCTGTGGGAAATGGAAATTCAAGTTGAAATGATTAATAGGGATTAATTAAGTTAATTGGTTAGGTGGGGAGTAGAAATAATAGAATTCAAATTATTGATAGTTATTAATTATAATTTTCCTTGTGAGAAATAGAAATTAAAGTTGCAATTATGATTAGGAAACAGAAATTGAAATTGAAATGATAATTGGAAAATAGAAATTAAAATTGAAATTATGACTAGGAATTAATTAGTTAGATGGGGAATAGAAATAATAAAATTCAAATTATTGATAGTAACTAATTATTATTTTCCGTGTGGGAAATAGGAATTAAAATTGAAATGATAATTAGGAAATAGAAATTAAAATTGAAATGATGATTAGGAAATAGAAATTAAAATTGAAATGATTAATAGGGATTAATTAAATAAATTAGTTAGGCGGGGAATAGAAATAACAAATGAAAATTCAGATTATTAATAGCAATTAATTATCATTTTCTCTGTGGGAAATAGGAATTAAAATTGAAATTATGAATAGGAATTAATGAATTAGGAGTTAATTAATCACTAATAAATTAGGGAATAAAAATAGTAAATGAAAATTCAAATAATCAATAGTAATTAATTATCATTTTCCCTGTGGGAAATAGCAATTAAAATTGAAATGATGATTAGGGATTAATTAAGTTAATTAGTTAGGTGGGGAAAAGAAATAATAAATGAAAATTCAAATAATTGAGAGTAATTAATTATAAATTTGATTTTAAGTAGTGATGGAGAAATATGGGGGATCCTGAGGGAAATCCCATTGGATCCTGAGGAAGAGAATCCCAAATAATTCCATTGGATCCTGAGGAAAATCCCATTGGATCCTGGAAAATCCCATTGGATCCTAAGGAAAATCCCATTGGATCCTGGAAAATCCCATTGGATCCTGGAAAATCCCATTGGATCAAGGAAAATCCCATTGGATCCTGGAAAATCCCATTGGATCAAGGAAAATCCCACTGGATCAAGGAAAATCCCACTGGATCAAGGAAAATCCCACTGGATCCTGGAAAATCCCATTGGATCAAGGAAAATCCCATTGGATCAAGGAAAACCCCACTGGATCCTGGAAAACCCCACTGGATCCTGGAAAATCCCACTGGATCAAGGAAAATCCCACTGGATCCTGGAAAATCCCATTGGATCAAGGAAAATCCCATTGGATCAAGGAAAATCCCACTGGATCAAGGAAAATCCCACTGGATCCTGGAAAATCCCATTGGATCAAGGAAAATCCCACTGGATCCTGGAAAATCCCACTGGATCCTGGAAAATCCCACTGGATCAAGGAAAATCCCATTGGATCAAGGAAAATCCCACTGGATCCTGGAAAATCCCACTGGATCAAGGAAAATCCCACTGGATCAAGGAAAACCCCACTGGATCCTGGAAAATCCCACCGGATCCCGAAGAAATCAATGCCAAGCATTCCCGGCGGATGATCCCATCCCGATTTTCCCACCTGCTCGAAGAGGTACTCGAAGGAGGCTCTGTCCAGCACGGCCGCTCCGGGCGCCTTTTCCTCGGGACAATCCCCCGGGCGCGGAACGTTCCGGAACACCGCCGGCTCCCGCCCGTTCATCCCGTGCCAATTCCGGAAATAATACCTGGAATAACGGATAGCATTCAGAAAAAATGGGAATTTCATTCCCGGCTGGGAATGAGGGGAAGGAGGAACGGGATCATCCAAAGCTTTTCCCGTTTTTTCCCCTTTTTATCCCCTTGGTTTTTCCCTTTTTCTTCCCATTTTTTCCTCATTTTTTCCCCCATTTTTTCTTCCTTTTCCCCCCATTTTTCCCCCTTTTTTCTCCCATTTTTTCTCCATTTCCCCCCCATTTTATCCCAAATTTTTCCCATTTTACTCCCATTTTTTCTCATTTCTTCCCCCTTTCACCCCCCATTTCTTCCCCTTTTTTCCCCATTTTATCCCCCTTTTTCTTCCCATTTATTCCCAGATTTTTCCCTTTTTTCCCCCTTTTCCCCCCCATTTTCCCCCCATTTTTTCTTATTTTATCCCAAATTTTTTCCCAAATTTTTCCCATTACTTCTCCAATTTTTCCCCCTTTTTCTTTCCATTTATTCCCATTTTATTCCCACTTTCCCCTCTATTTTTTCCCCATTTTATTCCCATTTTTTTCCCCATTTTATTCCCATTTTTTCCCCCTTTTTTCCCCATTTTATTCCCATTCTTCCCCCTTTTTCTCACCATTTATTCCCATTTTTCCCTCTATTTTTCCCCATTTTTCTATTATTTTTTTCTCCATTTTCCCCCCATTTTTTCCCATTTCTTCCCCCTTTCCCCCCCATTTTTTAACCCTTTTTTCCCCATTTTATTCCCATTTTTCCCCCTATTTTTCCCCATTTTTCTTCCCATTTCTTCTCCAATTTTCCCCCCTTTTTTC